ACCAGGAATTATTGATATTTACTTAACATTTATTAAGTGCCAGCTACAATACTAAGCACTTGAGAGACATCATCTCACTTTTTTTCACCTCAAAATAACCCTTTGAATGGGCATCATGTCTCTTATCAACAAGAAAGGTTAAGTTTTGGAGATATAGTTTGTCTGAGGCTACACGACCAGTCTGTGGAGGAGTCTAGCTAGGCAGCAAAGTTCTTTACTAGTTTTTTACTTCCTTTCTTCTTCCCAACTGTAGTCATTTTCTTCAACTGTTCTTCCCATTCCCACCAAATAAAAGCCCAGGCTTAAAAGTTCACACACACACACAGACAGACAGGACTGATAAGACTGCGACGGTCTGGCTCGACGGTGTAGCCCTGTGTGACACAAGCCGTTCATGGTCTCCTCAGGGTGTGTGCCCACAAGCAGGGCTGCTGGGCCATGTGGTAGTTTCTCTCCTAGTTTTCTTAAAGGAACCTCCGTTCTGTTCTCCGTGGTGGCTGTATCAATTTAGATTCCCACCAGCAGTGCAAGAGGGTTCCATTTTCTGTACACCCTCTCTACTCTTTGTAGATTTCTTGATGATGGCCTTTCTGACTGGTGTGGGGTAGTACCTCATTGTAGTTTTGATTTGCATTTCTCTAATAATGGGTGATGTTGAGTATCTTTTCATGTGTTTGTTGGACATCTGCATGGCTTCTTTGGAGAAATGTCTCTTTAGGTTTTACTCCCACCCAAATGTTCATTGCAGCACTATTCACAATAGCTAGAACATGGAATGGATAAAGAAGTGTGGTACATATATACAATGGAATATTACTCAACCATAAAAGGAATACATTTGAGTCAGTTCTAGTGAGGTAGATGAAACTAGAGTCTGTTATATAGAGTGAAGTAAGTCAGAAAGAGAAAAACGAATTTTATATATTAATGCATATATATGGAATCTAGAAAAATGGTATTTATGAACCTCTTTGCAGGGCAGGAATAGAGACACAGACATAGAGAACAGACTTCGGACAGTGGAGGAAGGAAGGGGTTGGGCGAACTGAGAGACTAGCACTAAAACGTACACATTACCATATGTAAAATAGATAGCCAGTGGGAAGTTTCTGTATGATGCAGGGGGCTCAGCCTGGTGCTCTGTGACAACCTAGTGGGGTGGGATGGTGGGGGGCGGGGGAGAGGTTCGAGGGAAGGAACATATGTATATCTATGGCTGATTCACGTTGTTGTATGGCAGAAGCAAATGATCTTATTGTAAAGCAATGATCCTCCACACAAAAATAAATTTTAAAAAATGCAAGCCATTTCCCCACAGGATTGTTTCTTATTCTTTGTAAAACTTTGGCACCTGTAGATTGTATTTCCACTCGACTGGAACGTGGTATTAAGGTGCTTAACCTGTAAGGTGAATAGCAGGGAGCAGCCCAAATTCCCATGGAGGCAGGTGCCCCAATCTTGGCCTTGTGAGATCTGTGTCATCTCTGCTGTCCTGTTAGAGTCTCAGAGCGTGGAAAGAGAAGAGTGCTGAGTTCTGGTCTAGCCCTGCCACTGGTGCAGCCTGTGACCCTGAGCAGATCACGTCTGTCCTGCTGGTAGAAACAAAATTCAAGTTTCCCACAAAGCTGAAATCTGAGTAGAAGGCCTTGACTTGGTCTTACAACCTAAAAGTCTGTTTGACATTTACAGGATGGTGGCAAAGCTGGGTCTCTGCCCCACTCAGACCCTCAGTCCCGTCATCTGCACAGTAGGAAGCGTGGGCCCAGTGCTTGTTGGCTCCCCAGCAGCTCTTGGTTTAGAACCCCAGGGAGCTGCAGGCAGATGCCTCTCTCACCCTGCAGAATTCTGACTGGAGAACCCAACCAGGGCTAATCTAAGTAAAATAGGGAGTTATTGGAAGAATAGTTTGTGCAGCTCATAAAATCCAAAATGTGTTAAATAACTAGACACAGGGATGCCCGGAATCAGGGTACCCTCAAATATCTCTTCAGCGAGAGTTCATGAACTTACCCCTTGAGCACTGCCTGGTATGACTCCTAACACAGCCCATTTCTGTGTTTTTCTGTTAAAAATGATGAATTCTGTCATGGACTAGTCAGTGTGGGAGGGGGTGGGGGTGGGCAGGGTCCACCAGCAGGAGGACGCTGCTGGAGGCCATTGCTGTGGGCAGTACACATGGTCCAAAGAAGAGGACCTGGTGGGATCCCCCGCACACACATGCGCCCAGAAGCATACAAATACGTGTGCCTTAAAGGAGGCCATATATAGTAGATAATGATGTGAATAATGATATGCTCACCACGGACAGCCACATCTGGGTGTTAAATGTGGGAGGAAGACACCATAGACCAGTAACAGAACTTACAATGTCATTTATTAAATGTTTTCAGGCAGCTGTGGCTAGAGGAAAGAGTAAGGGGTTTCAAGGCAAAAGCCTTGGGGGAAGGACCATCCGTTAGCTTAGCTTTAGGCACAAAGAAAGTCTCATAGTACCATCTCATAAGGAAAGTACCCCCGCTGTGAGTTAGGACTCTGCCTTCCTTCCTGCCAGGCTTCTCAGGTGGTGCTCGTAGTAGAGAACCCGTCTGTCAGCGCAGGCGATGTAAGAGACCCAGCTTCTATCCCTGGGTTGGGAAGATCCCCTGCGGAGGGCATGGCAACCCACTCCAGTATTCTTGCCTGGAGCATCCCATGGACAGAGGAGCCTGGTGAGCAATGGCCCATATGCTCACCAAGAGTTTAAAATGACTGAAGCGACTTACTACGCACACAGTTCCTTCCTTCCTGCCAGACCCTGTCTCATCTTTTCCACTTTGATGGGATTTGGGTAGCGTTCAATCTATTGAGAGTTCATGTCTTTATTTGTACAATACTCCTATTCCAACAACTAACAGCAGCTGACACTTAACCAGGACCCAGCGTGTGCCCAGCAGGTCACATGTGTGAGCTGGTCTCCTCACAGTCCTTGGACGCAGTTCTGGTACAGCCTGCGTTTGTAGGTGAGAAGCTGTACAGGAATTAAGGAATTAAGACCAGTAGTGAGGCATCCAGTCCAGTGGTGGACAAAGTGATGGAGTGGCCAGGCCCAGGAGCCAATGGCCAGGTCTGAATTCTGGCTCCAGAACTTCTGGTATGGAGCCCTTGCGCATGTGCTGAAGTCATTGATCTGTAAAGTGGGGATAAGGATGGGTCCCTTACCATAGTGTGGGATGAAGGTGTGTGAGTTAGTAACACAGACAGTGCCTGGAGGCAGAGTGATGCGCTGTTATGTTTGCTGTTATTAATGAGGGCTTCAGTTAGTCCTGGGCAGATTAGAGATTGGAACCCAGGCTGACACTGCAAAACATATTCTCTATAACAGAACCTCTGTGATTCAGGACTGAGAGGTGTAGTAGAGGGCAAAAGGGAAGAGGAGAAGAGGAGGAAGGGGAGGGTGAGGGAGCACGAAGGAGGGAAGCCTTAGAACTGCTGGTTTCTCTCACAGCCTTGTCGCTATGACCTTGAACTAGATACCTAGAAAGTTAGCAGCAATTTCTGGATCCCTGTGCTGGATTGAAGCATTCTGGCTTCCCCTTAAGCTTCTTACTTCAGGAGGCTTTAGGAAGGGGCTACTTAGGGAAAAAGAGAAGGAGACAGAGAGAGTGACTAAAAAGAGTGATGAAGTCAGGAGAGAGAGCAAAGCAGATAAACATACAGGCTGACAGAGAGAGCGAATGATACCCAGAAGAAGAAAAATACACACACCCACTTTGAGACGAGAAAGGAAATAGAATAGGAGCTTGCAGAAAAGCCGGTGAGAGGCTGGGCGAGCACGGAGCAGAGACAGAGCGAGGTGGCGGCGGCTGCCCAGCCTGTGGCTGCGGGAGGGGACAGAGCCCTGCAGCTTGTGCCGGGTGTACCTGGGCAGGCGCCTCCTGGGCCGCGGGCAGCCCTGGGCTGGGCTGTGGATGGCTGTGACGGGACACCGCTTTATCTGAGCGGGGGACAGGCGCGCCCTGCTCTGCGTCTTGCCCAGCATGCCACAGACTCGGCTGCAGATTTCTCACCAGTTGGTGGTAAAGGCTTGTGTGGAGAGGCCTTGGGCTGAACAACATGCCAAGGTTGGGCCACAAGGGTGCTGAGACCCGGGGGCCTAAGGACCAGGGGATTGTTTCTGTAAAAAGTCACCTGTGCACATCAGACAGACTTTGAGAATCTCTGCAAGGGTATCCGGCCTTTGTGCTCATGCTCAGTCGCTTAAATCACGTCTGAGTCTTTGCCAGCCTATGGACTCTAGTACGCCTGGCTCCTTTGTCCGTGGAATTCTCCAGGCAACGGTGCTGGAGTGGGTTACCATTTCCTTCTCCAGGGGATCTTCCTGATCCAGGGATAGGATCACCCTTAATAATTGCTAATTTTACAGTAGGGTTGATGAGGAATCTCACTTCATAAGTAATGCATTTTTTTAAAAACAATATCAATGTAGGAAGTTTATAATCAGAGGAACAAAAGTTTTAAATTAGGTCCTCAGTACACTCCTGAAATGAGAGGGCAGGGAGAATGATATCCCCTGACATACAGGAGGCATGATTGTGCGCATCCCACAAGTGGGCAGAGGCTAAGGGGGAGGGCAGCGTGTTTGAAAATATTTCTCCTCGATGCTTCCAGAATACTTTGAAAACCTGATGACAAGTCTCCCTCTGATTCTTCAAGAAGGATGAAGTTATTAATGTCCATTCAGCTTGGAGGAGTTTCATTCCTTTGAGATTCTTCAGGGTTTAAATAAAAGGCAGGAGGGGGATGATTTATTATGTCAAGTTAGTTGAAAGGTACCTGTTGTGTTTGTGGACCTGGGTTCCCCCTGAGAGGATCATGCAAGCAGCCACTGCTGAACCAGCCCCAGCCCCGTAAGTCCAGATCTCCACCCCTTTCTCAGTTTCAAATCAAGTTTGTAGCTGGCACATTCTTTCAAAGGTATTGCTTGTTGGTTTGAGAAATGATTCAGATGTGTCTTCTTTCAGGCTTTACGAAGGCAAGGAGCAGATGGAGTTTGAAGAATCCATGAGACGGCTCTTTGAATCCATCAACAACTTGATGAAAAGTCAGTGTAAAACAACCATCCTTTTGCAGGTTGGTTTATACTACAAAAGAAAAAAAAAATCTGTTTTTTCCCTTGGTCATCTGATAGAAAACAGCATGGTGAGATAATGCCTACTTTTGCTTGAATGGGCACAGCCCTGTGTTAATTGAAGGCCTGGACAGGCCACGTGGTATAAGGATCATGAACCCCAAGGGCTCCTCGGGACAGCAGAAGGCTTATTTGTTTGTTTCCCATGAAAGTAGCAGTGCTTCTTCTTAAATAACTCTGAAGCTTTTGCTCCCTGGAAGGAAATAGGTCAAACCTGATCCATTTTTAGTGGTGAGAATAGTTAAGGTGTCAGTCTCTGAAATTGTCCACTTTTTAATCTCAACACTGTAAACTCAGATCCCCTTTGGGGTTGAGAGTCTCCTCAATAAACAAGAGATAATTTGGAGAGAGAACCACCTCTGATTTGGTGGTTCATGACGCATATCTACAAACTCTGTAAGTCTTTGAGAAACCTACTTTTGAGAAAGAGTTTAGCAACCAAGAGACTGAGTAAAGAGGCTGTTTCAGGTTGACCTTCATAACTATCACGGCACTAATTCACAAGTGCCTCATGAATTGTGAAGAAGAAAACTCAAGCGCAATTGATCTAAACCAGTGAGTCAATGCACACGACGTCCCATTCTTTTGATAAGATATCTTTTTAATTGCGAACTTAAATGCCCACTAGCTAGCTATGCCTGGCATTGCCTGGCCTCTGGTTAGAATGAATGAGGTGCTGGTGTTTAGCTAGAATGCAGGTGAGGATGCAAAAGCAGAAGTCTTGGAGTGTCTGTTGCTAACGTGATGGGTTCCAAACTTTGCACAGTGAAATCACATGAGGATCTTGAATACACTCTGATGACTAATTGCCACCAGCATACATTCTAATGGAATTGGTATGGAGTGTGACCAGGGAAAAGGGAGTTTAAACATCTCCCCATCTGATTTTCGAAGTTTGGGAATCACTCTGCTAATGTAATGGCTTCCTTTGATTTAATGAATGTTGGTAATGTCTGTGTGTGAATGAGAGTGTGTGTTTGTGTGTGTGTGTGTGTGTGTGTGTGTGTGTAGGGGAGCTTTGTCTTGTTCATCATTGTATCCTCAGCATATAGAACAGTCATAGTATATAGTTGGTACTTGATAAATATCTGTGAACTGAATAATCCTCAGAATAGGTGTTAAGATCTGTTTCTTATATGTGGAAATTGAAGGGCTCCTATCTGCTAAGGGGTGTAGCTAGGATTCAGATCTCTTCCTGCCTGGCTCTAAGGACCATGAGCTGCTACATTATACTGTTCTGTACACTACACATTTAGTACCTACTGGGGATATGGGGCTTCCCAGGTGGTGTTAATGGTAAAGAACCCGTCTGCCAGTGCAGGAGACATGAGAGATGCTGGTTCTGTCCTTGGGTTGAGAAGATCCCTTGGAGTAGGAAATGGCAATCTGCTCCAGTATTCTTGCCTGGGAAATCCCATGGATGGAGGAGCCTGGCAGCTGCAGTCCATGGGGTCTGTAGAGGCTCTTACATTGCATCAGGTCTGAAATAGGCTCCAGGGAAGCTGAAGTGTGAGGGGCAAACAGAGGAACTGCTTGGTGGGGAGGAGAAAGGAGTCAATGCCCCAGAGAGGCAGAGGTGCCCAGAGAGGGACTACGTGACCTTGAGAAAAACAGGGGAGTGCGTCGTCCCAGAGCCGTCGTTTCCAACTTCAGCACCTATTTCCCTGGGATGAGTGACCTGCATTTGGGGGGAATGATTAAAGGGAAGGCAAAGGCAGGGAAAGAAAGGAAAAGGAAGCTGAAAGATGAGCCAGTGAGAATGTCTGGTTCTGAGAGGACCTGGGTCAACAAAATATTTCCTTTTGATCAAGCTGTCTGATTTAATGCTGGATTTAACCTCTCAAGGTCTCTGTTTCCTCATCAATAAACTTTAGTGTCTGGGTGAAGATCAGATAACCATTGTTTGCAAAACAGCCAATTATAAAATACTATGCAAATGCAGAGAGCTAATAGGATTATTATGGCTTTGGCATGAGTCTTTTTACCCAGGTTTTGATTGTCTGGGTAGCTGTGTCACAAAATCGTCTGTTTTCCCTGGGATCTGGGCCAGGTTATGCTGATTTCTCCTCATAGATTTCCACCCCAAGAGCCATGAAAAGGGACTTTGCCTTTTTAAAAATTTACTCTAAGGGCCAGATTTAGCTTCTAGGATGAAATCAATGATGTTTTCCGTCTATTCCTATGGTTGTTGAAAGGTTATCAAAGAAGAATATAAAGTCATATTCAAGTATGAAGAACTTTCAGTTCAGTTCTTTCAGTACCATCTGAAAGCACCAAATGCTGTTTTAGGGCATGCGGAGAGAGGGTTCAAGGCCATATGATGTCAGCAAACCTCACACAAGGGGTCTTCTGCAGACTTTGATATTCACTACAGGAGAATGAGCTTTGGATGTCAAGAGATCTGAGTGGGAAATGGGGCATCCACGCCTGGGCACGTAGCACTGGGCAAATGATTTCAGTATCCTGGGCTTCAATTATCCTTTTATAAAATGGGAAGCCTAATGCCTGTCTAATTTAGAGGATTATTGAGAGGATTAAAGTAATGCATGTAAAGCATGGTGGGTAAAGCCTGTTACATAGTTCAGTTTAAATAATTTTTAGTCATGTATACCTCTTCCTCCTTTACTTCATCATAAAACAGGAGCCTTGAGGGCATTTTCAACAGAGTGGAATATGGAAGGGAGTATTTGTGTTCCTAACCTTGTCACATGAAGTCAAGCAGTTTTAGGACATCCAGTTATTCTGTTAGATCAAGAAACAGATATAAATTTCAAGGAGGATAAGCTTTCAAGAACTGACTCTATAAAAAATAAAAAAGGAAGGCAGAGTTTCACCAGTGAAATAGGACAGCATGACTGGAGTCTTGATTCTGAGCCTGCCTGGGGTAGAGTAGGAAAGAGTGCTGTAATCTACTAGTAATGTCTGCCATAAGCTTTGGTAGAGAGCGTGGAGAATGCCAATGATTGACATTCCCATTCAAACCTTACACTTCCAGCTGGGTAGTGGCTTAGGTGGAAGCCCTAATTCATGCCTACTTGAGTTCAGAGTTAGGTCCATCACGTTCAGTCTCAGCTTTGCCCATGTGAATTCTCGGACCCAAGCTAGTTATTTCTCATGTCTGAGGCTCATCTGGCTTTTGTCAATTGCTTTCTGTAGTTTTCCTTATTGTTCAGAGATGCATGTCAGTATCTCACATGAAACTGGAGAATTTAAAGCCAGCCATCCAAAGAGGGTAGAAAGAGCATTAAAAACATCTTTCACTGATTGAGTATCTATTGTGTATCAGGCATGAACCAAGCTTTCACATGCATTGTTTTCAGTCCTGCCAGAGGTCTGCAAGGAATCGTTGTCTTCATTGTCCACAGAGGCTCATGAAGTTAAATAATTCATCCTAAAGTGTACCTATTCATGGTGGTAGAGCTAGAATTTCAATCCACCCAGGTCTTCTAACGCCAAAGTTAATATTTTCTAATCCACAAAGAATGGGTATGGTCAGGGCTTTCTGGAATGGGTGGTATGCTCAGAAGTCCCCGTGTGTGCCAGCCCTGTGAACATTGTTGATAAAGCTGGTGGCAGGGTGAGATGGTCAACATCTGACACTTGTGAACTGGATGCAGCTCAAATGTGAGTCATGGCCATTTGGTGACGTTGTGCAGATCCATTTGACCCATTGTCCTTTAGATTGTGATTCTTCATCGTTCTCCAGTTTGATGGTATGAGTGGAAGTACATAAGCAACTCAATTGCAGAGTCTGCTCCCTTGGCCACTCTGATTGTCACACATGCTAATATAGCCACTGGAGCATCCAGGAAGCAGAGACCTCTGCCTTTTATGTCTCCAGAACCTGAAACAGTAACTGTCACTTATATACCTTTCAGCTGGAACAATGAAAGAATGAATACTAGCTTCCACTATTTTATGTTTTAGCATTTATTATGTGTGACACATTGAGCTAAAAGCTTTATATATAGTTAGCTCATTTGATTTTTTTAAAATAACAAACACCTTATTAGGCAAATACTCTTCTTATCTCTACTTTACAGATGAGGAAATGGAGGCTTAGGGAGATTGAGTAACTTAATCACAGTTAAGAAGTAGCAGGTTACTTGAATCTAGGCTGTATAGTCCAGAGCTTGAGTTCCTAATCACCAAGCAAAGTAAGGCTTCATTAAAGAATTGAATCTTTTGGCAAAATGCTAGGTGGTTAAGCAATAAGCTCCATAAACAGCAGTACAGATGGGCAGATGTCTGGTCTGTAGTCACACATTCGAGCTAATTAACAAGGCCTCTTTCTTTCCTCCCTTTTCATTGTTAACTGTTGTAAAATATCCAAAAGTCTGAAGCAAGGGAAGAATGTGGTTCATTCTTGGGATGTGGCCTGCAGGCTGCATGCTGAGCCCGCAGTAGGAGAAGTGAGACTCATGTGTAATAGCAAGAGCTGGAGTTTCCCCTCAACTTGTTTATGATTGGAATGTGTCCTATTTCCACCGTCTGCTGCATACTTAGAGGTGGTGTTTGAGAATGTGGGATTTATGGAGGATAGGTGAAATTTTGTTCCAAAGGGGCTGCTGGAGTCATACTGATGGCTCACATTTTTCATTCAGTTGTCACATCAATCTTATAAAGTAGGTGGCTTTATTCCCTTCAGTCTCCTGATGAAGAACCTGGAGCATAGAGAGTGAATTTCCCCAAGGACAGGCAGATAACAGTGACCCACTCGGATCTGACCTTGGCCTCTTCAGTCAGCCGTTTTAAACACTGAGCTCTCTTGCTTCCTGCTAAGCTTCAGGGGCCAGCACAGCTCTGGGTCACGGGAAGCATGGGGACATGTGTCTCCCAGAACCTGTTGGTCCCTCTTCCCTTGCCTTGATGATAATTCCCAGGATTACCAGCTCTGGTGAAGTCCATCTGAAAGACCAGTGACAGGGTTGAATGTCTGGGG